CCGAGAAAAACAGGTCGAACAATTTTATAAATCTTACTCCTCTGTAATTGTCAGTTTTTCTAAAAGTTCATTGCTTCAAACACTGGACACAGCTTTTTATTACATATCTTAAATTTTTGGCAGAGATCTTACGGCTCATACAACCTTAAACCATTTCACATACATTAGCAGATTTTCATACGAAGATGACAGTTTTTCTTTCGTTAAAATTACCTTAGTCTTCGGCCTGAGCTATGTTTGATTTTCAAGAGGCAAACGAGGAACGGATAAGGACGAAACGATCTTTAATCCAATTTGTTTTAAACATTGTCCTCTGTCATCGAGGCTCCATCTCTAGCAAACGGGATGAATTTCGGGTGTTCATGGGTCCAGTGCCAAACTGGCGTTCGCAAAGACAAAAGGTAAATGTTGCAAGGAGGCAAGGGTCGAAATTGGACCGAGTCAGTGCCAGTCGAGCCTCGGTACTTCGACGTGGTCTGTTTAAAAACTCATCGGACGCGCATTCCCTTGTGCGATTCGCTCTGGCCGCTGATCGGCAGCGCCCCTTTTCTCGCGGTACCTTGAATTTTTCTTCCACCCGGTGACGCGACGTTCTTATAAATAGTTAGTAAAGTGCGTAAATCGGCGTTACCCGAGTTGCCCGAAAAATCAAGACCAAAAATATCGTCTCGTTCCGAGTAATCGAGGCTTTCAACGTTAAAAAAATCGAGTATCGAGTTGCACAGAATGAGTGGATGGATCGGTGGTAAATGAGAATTGATCTAAATTGAGTTCACTTTCTGTGGAGAAGTTTTGTCAAACAGTGTGTAATGCGGTGTTAATTTATTTTACAAGAGTTCGTCGTCTTCTTCAAAGAATGAATTGAAATTGACAATCAGTACACGAGTCAGAGCTAAACTGTTGATAAAAGTAACTGCAGTCGATCTTCTGCTGGGAACTTTTAATAAAGACCCAGATGAGCAGAGGATAGGCGAGTGTTAGGATTAGCTTAGTTCGTGGAAAGGTGGCCTAGTGTTCGGTGTTTAAGGTAACACGCAGCGAAATCGTCGAGCAACGGATGTGGTGCAAAAGGCTGATCTGGATATTCCAGTGGCTCTGGACAGGCTGCGATATCTGGCTCTGACGATGCGCTCTTCGTCCGTCGTCCCGGTGGCCGCGTAAAACCGACTAGTGCGATTCCCGGCTGCTACGAGCTCGAAGCTTTTAAACTTGGACGCCGAGAGCGTGTCGTTGATTCGAGGATCGAAGCTTTTCTTTTTCTCTTTATTTATAACGGGCATCCACCGCGAGTAGTTGGCCCTAAATAGCCAGAGTTCACACGCGTGACTACTACCATTTATTTTTACGGCCCACGTCGACCTTTTCTCGGATCGACGTTTAGATGAGAAAAAGAAAAGAAATGATGACGAGATCCGGCAGTGAACGACCGTAGAGGAATGAGAGATTCGTGTGTATTGGCGCAAGGGCAGGTGATTCCGAGTGACTCGAGCAGGATGGATGGGACAACGTCGAATACGCTTTCACCCAGTTCGTCCGGGTCGGGGAAGGTCCACTTGGGCGACGGGATGGCGTTCTCCGGTTTACGAAGGGCGCTCTCCCAAGTTTCGATGCTGGTCGTTAAGGCGACCACGTCGGGGGAGACTGCTTGGAGGGAAGAACTGCACAAGTATGTCGATTCATGACGTTCCCGTTTTTAAATTATAATATTTTATTATTATCAGACTCGATTAGTTGAATCATTCGTCTGATTCGTAAAAGCGAATCTAAAGACACTTTATGAAAACTTACAGTGATCGTCGTTTTTACTATAAGTAAGCTATTACTATTTTTTTGTATCGTGTCATTTTCTCATTATTTCATGATGT